GCCTTGAGTCTTCATGATCGCCCTTGCAAAGGAAGTCAATAGAAGTTTTTACATCAGTTCTACAGAAATAGCAGTAAAATGCATGCGAGAGTTAAGTAGCCCAAGAAAGAAGAACGGAGCACCGCGGAATCCGTGGTTTTATTTTTGAATACTGATTTGGTGTGTGTGCGTGCGTGCGCGCGCGCGTTTCACTGTTGCCGTTTTCTTTCGGCACCTGACTTTTCTTCCCACAGCCTGCACGCGGTTCTCGATTATCTGGTGAACAGTCTACCGGCTGCGACAACTTCGGCTTCCCTGGGGAAGCGTAGGGGTTCCTGGCCACCGCCGCAGCTATAAGCGCGCCGCTCAGTTTCCTGCGGTCGGCGAGTTCCCTTATTAGTCCGCGGGCGCAGCAGAGCCTATCCGGTCAGAGTCGGGCCCCCGGGCAGCAGAAAGACTCCAGAGAAGCAATCCCCAGCCTGGGTCTCCAGGAAAGCAAGCTCCGCAGCTCCTCCGCAGCGCATTGTGCCCTGCTGCCCACCTGTCTGGGGTCCCCATGGCCACTCCGAGCCTTCGTCCCTTGCTCTGGGCCTTGTCAGCTTCAGGCCAGCGCTACCCATTGCTCTTCCCGTCCAGATCCCACTGAGTTTGAGCGCTGCTGGCTTAAAGATTTGTCCCACCCGGGACAGGGGATTAAAAAAAAAGCCGCGTTCATTTTCCACGACAGCGTACAGGCACTGTTTTATAAGGGGTTTTTCTCAAAAATTTTATTGTGACATTTTGCAAATATACAAGAAAATTGAAAGAAGAGTATTGAAAGAATGTCTGTTTACCGCCCCCCCCCACACACACACCAGGTAGCAACTAATGTTAGAATACTGCGACTTTCTCTCCCCCCCTCCTCCGTGTGTGTGTGTGTGTGTGTGTGTGTGTGTGTGTGTGTGAATGTGAGCGGATGTTAGCTGCATCATTTGAAAATTTCAGACATCGTGACGTTTCACTTCTCTACACTTTGGTATGTATCTTTTGCGGATAAGAACATCATCCTACCTTCAAGGCCATTCTCACACCCATTAAATAACATAGGTCCCTATGTTAGCATCCCAGAATAAGGGCTCGCTTTCTCTCCTGTTTCTAAATTTCAATTCCCTTCAGTTTCCCTTCTTGGACTGCACACATGTATAAAATATTGCTCCCTTCCTCCAGGACGTGCCCTCAAAATGGACCATCAGGACCTAAGGGGGCTCGTCCAGTTCCAGGGACTTTTCTAAAGAGAGCTTTGTAGCGTGATCAGGTCAGGGGAGTCCCAACAGATCGGGACTCAAACGCGTGGCGAGAGCGTTACGCTCACGCAGTCTGAGATCCCTTGTTTCATCTCCCAAATCATTTCAGACATACCCAAGAAGCACAACTCAAGAGGCTTCGCACAACCACCCAGCAGCGCCTTCCTGGCAACCCAAAGGACACCATGATAGGACCAGGGAGCACAGGGTGGCTTCTGTTGGGTGGGTCTCTGGGTGTGCCCTTGGCTTAGCCATTCTCTATTTTCCCTTTTTTTTTTCTCCCTGGACCCCTGCTATTCTGCTCTGCATTCGGTTATTATGGGGGCACTGTGTCGTTCTTGGCCCTCACCGGCTTGGAGCCAAGGCTGTGGCGCTGAGCGCCCGCATAACTCCCCCTTCCCTACCGCTCCCTCTTTTCCCCTCCCCCCTTCCGCCCCCGGGCCCCAGAGAGGAGCGGGAGAACTGGGGGGCGGGGAGCTTGAGCACCGCGTGGCCACGCCCCCCCAAGCCGGCTTTTTCTAGGACCGCTCCGGGAGCCTCTCTGCTGGCTGCTCCTGCTCGCTCCCTGGGTGCGCACCGCTCCTGCCCTGCGCTCTGCTCAGCTCTGCTCGGCTCCGCTCCATTCCGCCTCCACCACGCCTCTCTCCGAACTTCGGCCACAGCTAGCGGAGCGCGCCCGCGGTGCCGCCACCCCAGCCCCCGGCTCTGGGTGCCTGTTGCTCCGTGCCAGGCACCTCGCGCCGTGCGATCCCACCGTCTCCCAAGTCCTGTTCTCTGCCCCGGCCCTCGCCCTCTCTCGCTGTTTGTCTGTCGGTTTAGCTGTCTTTCCGCCTCCCCACCCACCTTTTCCTTCCTCCCTCTCTCGCTTGCCTGTTCCTTCGCTAGCTCTCAGACGCGGCGAAGCAGCTTCGCAGGAAAATCCCAGAAACCTTTGCAAAAAGCTTACAATGAAATTTAAGAAGTTCTTCGATTTCGGCGCCATTTTCGAGTGGAACGAGAGGTGACATGCGATTTTTAAAAAAGGGAATTGTTGGCTGGCGCTTTTCCCCAATTGTAGCGTTGGTTATGGGAGACTGAAAGAAGTCTAGTGATAATTCTGAGAAAAGTTTTGTGTCGCTTTGGGGTGGGAAAACACGTTTGAGGGGTGGGCTTGGGGGGGGGGTAATAGACCTTTAAAGTGTTCATCAAGTGAGCGTGGCCGGGAAAATTCTCAGGAAACGGACTGAGAAAAGTTAACATTGGGAGGGGCTGGGAGAGAAAACTGAGTAAGGGACAGTGACCGACTGTCAACCTCGCCCGGGTTGAAAACGACCTGTTTTGACGGAATGTAAATGGGTTTTTGGTGACTCGTATTTGTAAGCAGTAAAATATGTCTTGGGAAGAAATGTGAGAATAATTTTGCATTGCCCTTCCCGAATTACAGCTTTCAAGATTGTTTAGTTTTCCCTGTAGGAAACTTGACATTGGGAAAGTTTGGCCCGAATGCGCACAGAAAAAGCGCACCATGTGTTTGGGGTGTGGGGAACAATATATTTGCAAATTTAAAAGACAGAACGTTTTAAAATATGAACAGAGAAAGAGGCGTATTCTTTGGCTCTTAAATCATTTGGTCAAACACGTTGCAGTTCAGAAGGGGGTGGGGCTATGGCAACTCGAAAGTATCGATTCTTTGTCTATTGTATCAGCGAATGACCCTCTCCTGATGTGACAAGACTCCTCTTTGTACTCTCTTTTCGTAAGTAAATTTCAGTCTCAGGGGAAATTCATTAACTAGGGGATCGAGGTGGCTTTTTTGGGATGTAAGTCGTTGTACAGTCACTGAGAGAGAAGAAAGGGGTTAAGAGGAAAGTATTAATGAATTCGATTCCAGTGAGTTCACAAAGCAATGTGGAAGGACCTTCGCCTTTGATACCTATGTTATTTCGAAGGAACTTTGCTTTTCCTAAGGAAATGTTAAATTAGGAGTGATTTTAACCTCTGATGTGATGACTCACATATTTGTGCAGGACATAAAATATTTAATTGGGAGAAAGTTGTGGACTACTAAAGTATAATCGTACATTTGCTAAACATGTTTTTTTTTTCTTTTTAAGGGCAACCAACGACGTTTTTCCTCCATTAATCCCAAAGATCAATGTAAAAATCGTTAATATAGCCAAAGCAAGATGGAATTTAGAGATGCTTAATTGTCCCAATTTAGGAACTGGCATTAAATTGTAATTAATGACTTTGTTTATCATGATGAAAAAAGTGTATTTGTTAGTAACACATCTCAGGCTGTTTTATGAATTTTGTACCTAATCTCATTAAGTACTCTGCATATTTTATTAACTAATAAATAGGACACAACATTCATTATACTGGTTTTAAAAAAACCCACATAATTTTAAAATGAAACAAAAACATATAGCAGATTTGGTTACTTTAAATATCTACTACTTGTACTTAAATGTATTTTAATTTTCAAAGCTTCAGTGGTTTTGTTCTTTTAACTTTTAGGTTTGTGATTCCAGGTTTAAGGGTGTTTTTTTTCCTTATGCTTACTTGAATATTTTGTTTAAAAAAGAGAGGAATGCATGAATTTATTGCTAATATATGTCCATTTTGAAAAGAAAAAAGTGGTATCTAATGAGTTAATCATTAAGGAGCATGCACAGTGCCGGCCATTTCAGGACGTGAGTTTCTGTGGAGCTGCTTGAGACAGGAAGGAGTGATTTGACATCAAGAATTTAAACTTTTTGATTTGTGTTTTGATGGGTGACAGTGATAGGTGTAAATCACTTATAAATAAGTTTGAGTCCCCAGTTAAAAAAATTATCTCTCATTCTTTGCCATTAAAAATATCTCAGAGTGATTATCACCTTTAAATCATCCGTGTTTATTTTCAATAAATTAAAACGGCGCTTTTTAAAAAATGGGGACAATTAATGAGAAATAATATGCAGCAGGAAGAAGTTTCACCAAGACCTTGAAACTGGCAAGAGTTATGCAGATGTTGCCAAATTGTCTCGATTTATTTAATCTTATCTTTCGTGTATTTTTCAGAGGTAAGATTCTCTTCCATCCTAATTCCCATCACCCATCGCTCTGCATTTCAGCACTGTATTCATCCTCCGCGGGGAGGGAGGGAATCGAGAGCCACACCCTTCACTCTGCCTGCAGATCCTGGAAATCAAACTGCGAAGTTATTAAAAGTACGTTAATTGGAGGGCCGTGTCTTAGTCCTTTACTTCATCCTCCCAATTGGGCGGGGCAGGGTGGGGCTTCTTTCCTGTCACCCATTCTTTCTTCACCCGCAGGTATCCCAGAGTACTCCCCCTTCGTTGACTCCGAGGGGATGCAGCAGCAATTCATGTTTTGAAGTGCTCTAAATGGTTCAAAACGTGAGGCGCTGCTATACCCCCTCGCGGGGAAGGTTGAAGGTGGGGATCTGCTGGAATGACCAGGACCCGTTCCCTGCAAGGCAGCTTTCAGAACAGGTAGGTGGGGCCGGGGGGGTCTTCTGTCTTCTTTGTTTGTCTGCGCCCTTTGCTGCCCAGGCAGCACCGCCTTAGTCGCCTTAGAGGGGGAGGGCTACACTGTTCTGCCAGACTGGGAGGGACACCAGGTCGGGGGTCGCTCGTATGCAGGCAGTTCACATTGAAAACGAACCTGGTGCCTGGCACTCAGCACTCAGCCGTGCCCTAGCAGCGGGAACAGTACTGCAGTGATCCATTGGTGCCTGGAGTATTGTTCCTGCTGCCAGGATAAGTCTGGGACTTTTCTACGGGCCCACCACCCAGGTAAGTCGCCTGCAGCATCTGCCCTGGGAGCAGCGACACACTCTCTTGGGACTAGCCAGTTTGTCCTCCAGGAATCATTTGCCTGCCTGTCTTTGAATACGTGACTGCATGTGACAGGCTTTATTTTAGTAACCTTTTTGCCTGCCCAGGTAAAGAAAGCTGAAATGATGGGGCAGGGGGGGAAGAAAGCCCTTTCTGATGACCTATTAGAATGCCACCCACTGGACAACGAGGAAAGCTCATCTTAAGTCCCCAACAAGGAAACAGGTGGGGATGTGGGAAAGGAGTAAGGGGAGGCAGAAAGGGGGTTGACTGCCAGCTACCCCTAATTCTCTCAGCGATTCCTGGTAAACCGGCTCATGTCCTTGTGTGGAAAGCACTTTTGACTTCAGGAAAGATTATGGGGCCCTATTCCCGCATCTCCCCTTCCTTACCTCTACTGTGTTGCGGGGAGCTTTCCTGGACTTCAGTTATCCAAGAAGGATCAAGCGAGGCCTTTCTGGAGGGCAGGTGAACCCAAGGCCATGTGGAGGGCAATGACCCTTCCCTAGGAATCTGAGTCTGCAGCCAGCAGGGACTGCAGTGACCTGAGGACAGGGTCCCGCAATGAGGCTCTGTGTTTCTAACTTCTTTTTTCCGCCTCTCCCCAAATCGGGCCCCAGATTTCTACCCCGAAGGTGCGACACCAACCACACCTTTGTCACTCTAGAAAAATCACAGAAGGTCCCACTGGAAAGGCATTAGCTTCACAGCTCAGGACAACACCTGAACTGTCAATTCAGGGGCCCTTCATGATTCCAAACTTATGGGCAGGTGCTGTCGCTAATTAATGCTGCACATCTGCACCTCCACCCCTTATTTGACTGGCCCATTAAGCCTTTGGTGAGAAAACGGGGGGAGGGGGATTGTCGCCTAGGAACTTCACAGTTGACCTAGAAAAGAGGACTATCCCTATGAAAATCACTTTAGATCTGATTTTTTTTTTTTAATCTGAGGCCTGGTCAGGTAAATGACTACTGGCAAACTACTAAGGGAGGTGTGGAATCCTTTCCCACGTCTTTTTGTCATCTTAAAGGACAAAACCAAAACTTGCACACGCACACACATAACCCTCTTGTTGCTATGAGACACCTTGTACTAGTCTTCCCGAGGGGCCGGGCGTGGGACCCTAAAATTTCCAGTTTGGGGGGAGACCCGAGGTTCTGAGTAGTCCAGAACGAGTAGTCTAGAGCGGAGAGTCTGGCTCCAGCTGCGCGAAACATTTGCTCTCCCAGACTCCCTTGCGCCTGAGCAATGCAGTGCGCAAGGGAGGCTTGGGTCCCTTCCGGCCAGCGGGGTCCCTCAGGCTCCCAGGGGCGCTGCGTCTTTGAGACCTCTGCAGGCTCTTGACCTCCTTGCCGCTGCGGTGCTATTCCCGACCCCAATGGCCAGGGCCCCTCCAGCCCGCAGTCCCCGGGCGCGAATGGAGAACAGGTCCGCCTTCCATTGCACTGGGGGTTGGAATAGGGCCACCATGAGATTCCCCTTCTGCAGCTAACCAGCTTCCCTTTTTTTTCCTTCCCGTTCTGTAATGGTTCTCCTTCGAGCCAGGAGAGAGTGCCGCCCAAACTTCCTGGAGGACCTTGTCCACGTCATCTGGCTCCCTCCAGAGGGCGCCTGCAGGATCCAGGTGAGGCACCGATTGCGGTTGATTGCAATTGCGGACCAGGAGGGCAGGAGGGCAGGGGACCGAGGGATCCTAATTTGGGGGCGTTACCTTCCAGAATCTGGGCGGCCTCTCTCAGGGCTCCCACAAGGTGCCCAAATTGAGCTCGTCCACACAACCCTCTGATAGCATGGTGCCCTTCTGACTTAAAACATTCCTTCCACCTTTAATTACACAAAGTTGCAGTATGCCTAGATTTTCCTCCAAGGACAAAATTCTGAATAAAACAATATTTTAGCCGAACATTTCTGTGTCAGTTAAGAAGATGGCAATTTGTTCCAGACTATAAATTCTCTTTAACAACTCCTAGGGAGTTGTTATTTTTAAAAATTGTTTTGTTTTTCAACATTGCTAAATGTGCAACATAATGTATGGGAGACATATAAAGTGAATCACTGTATAGTCAGCTGATTAATTGATCCAGCTTTACCACCCTCAACTAGACACCTTTCCACTGTTTGCCCAATTTTTCCCAACACATGGTATTTGTTAGTGAGGAAGCTGCTGGACATAAGGCATTGTATAAAGTTTATTAGACAGATGTGCTTCTTAAAACAGGAAAAGTTTGGCCTAACTCTAAATCTAAATAGGCATTTCTATAAGTTGGGGGACAAGATATACAGGTTACTTTGATAAAGTAGAATTAAACATAATTTTGTAAAAACTTTAATCACAAGAATATTTTTTGAAGACATCCAACATCTCCAGTTAGCAGTACTGATTTTTTTTTTCCAATCAAGGAACACTACATCAACACTCTTGGCGGGGATCTGGACATGGAAGACTCCTGTTTCAAGAAAATATAATCATCTTTCAAAGGCTGTAACTTATATGCATTTCTAACTCACTAGGTATTGAAAACCACCCAAGTGTCCCACCATAGGGGAGTAAAATAGAATCAATCACTCAGTGTAATATTATACATCTTTAAAAATGTTATTGGAAAATGTTATATGATCTGTAAGTTAAAAGAATCCTCTCCCACCATTTCTTCCTGCTGTTCCCCCATACCCATGCTTCTTTGTAAAGTTGGCATGTAAATTTGTTTTTCCCACCAAATGAGTCAGTCACAATGGGAATGTCAATTGATTTGAACAGATGTGTGTCAATGTTACGTGGAAAAATAGATGCCAATAACCAGGGCCACAGGAAAATGCAGTGGTTCCAACTCTGTAACAATTATACCTACACACAAACAAGGACAAATGTGGAACCCCAAACAGGAAAACAGTTGCATATTCTCCAGTGTGGGGAGATGGAAGGATTGTATACTGCTTTTGATTTCAGTTAATACAGGCAATGTCCAATTAAAAAAAAAAACCCTAATAAGGACTCTGCATTGCAAATTATTTTGCTGAATGTTTTAAAACACCATGCCTGTCAACCCATCAAGGCAGAAGGAACCACAGGGGATTGGGTTTGTTCCATGAATCCTGGACTGTAGAGCTCAGGGCAACATTGGAAAAAACATGATCCTATTAGATGGGAGTTAACAGGCAGCTTTCCTGAGAGACTGTGCAAGAGGAAAATAAAAATAGGTTCAAAAAGCATGCTTGAAGCCAGACACAGTGGCCCATGCTTGTAATCTCAGCAACTGGGGAGGGTAAGGCAGGAGAATGGCTCTTTCAAGGATAGTTTCAACAACTTAGTGAGACCCTGTCTCAAAATGAAAAGGGCTGGAGATGTAGCTTAGTGGTAAAGCACCTCTGGGTTCAATCCCAGTAAAACACACACAAACACACACAGCATGCTTGGGGAAGATCAATGAAAGTTTATTGACGTAAGTTAAAGTCTAGGAATATATCCAAGTTGGCATAAATTTCTAAAGATCTGTCTTTCCGTTGGCCTGCAGTATTAGTCTCATAACCCTAAAGCTTCATATACGCTTTTATACTTTAAGTTATTACATTATTCTCAAATGAAAAACAGTGTATATACACCAATTGCAGAAAATATGTATCTCCCTGCCCCTGTACCCCCACTCATGCCCATCCATTAGTTAGTTACTGCTTACTAAATGAAGAAGGATCTCTGGATTCTTTCCTGATAACCACCTATCCCTGGCTCCACAATTGATCTCTTCAGTAAATTCAAAAGGGCTTAAGCCCCATGAGAATAGTAAATTGAGTCATTAGGGAGGAGCCCAGAAAGAATTCTGCTTCCCGTGGTTGCTGCAGCCCTGGAGCACTCCCCTTAAACTATTGAGCTCTAGAATCTGAGCAACTGGTGGGAGAGTGGGGTGGTGGCCCTGCCTTCAGCAGTAGAGTCAGGAAGCCAAAAACAGTGCATGCAGCAGGCTGAGACTTGGTTACTTTGAACTCTGGCTGTCCTGAGGCAGCACCTTCACCTGTTCTCAGTCCCCAACTCCACTCCTGGCCAGACCCTTGTGGCAGAGATACAATCTTCAGATTCATCATAATTCCAACATCTTGCTTTGTATGGTGCTTTTACCTACTTTTCTAGATGTTTTCCTATCTGTTATTTGCGGCAACCTTAAAAGATAAGTAGAGTAAGGCAGAGAAAAACAATTACAAACAGAAAACTAGGATTCCTGGGGGTTAAGGACACATCAGAGACTAGCTTCTAGGACCTCTTCCTCTAAATCTATTAATCAGAACTGACTACACAGTAGTGACTGGAATTGAAGTAGTTAATATGTTTTGTTAGAAAAATTTCAGGTTAAGCTGATTAGTCCAGGTGAAACTGATGATCTGGACACTTTCTGGGTGAGGCCCATGATTAGCCTCAGTTATCACTAATGATTGTAAGTTACCCAGCTGTGTATACAAGTCAATGGGCACAAGCCAAAAAAGTATGATTTAAATTCATTTGAAATCTTTAGCCCATATTTAATATTTTCTATAGATTCAGCCAAATTGAGGGAAAGCAAAGGGAATGCCCAACCATAATTGTTAATTTAGTCCCTCACTCAATAGTACCTTTTATGGCTGTGATAATTGTAAAAATGACCTAGAAGCCTGGAAAATGCTTACAAAACAAGTTTTAAAAATCAGGGCCAGAAAATCCCACAGACTCAATTAACTGAAAACTAGGAGCAAAAACTGGAGGGAACATACAAAACAAATATTCTTGTTGCTTAATGGTGGTAGAATAGGACCAAAAGTTTCTCCTTTCTGTACTTTTCCATGTATTTTTTGTTGTTGTCATTGTTGTTGTTATGCTGTTTTTTTTTTTTTTTTTTACACTGTCAAACGTAATTCTCTAAAAAGTCTTTAGGGGTCATGGGCGATACAGCAATTTTGGGCCAACGATGCAGAGACCTCAGACATCTCGGGGATCATCATGTCACGAGATACCACTGTGCACTTGTGACAGATTGATAACTGAAAGGTCTGGGAGCCACTCATCTTCATAGCAATATGTATTGTAAGTATTACAAGATCAATCTATGAAAAGATCAGGAGGAAATTGGGTGCCATGCAGTGGGGCATTGAATGGTATTCTCATAGGAGTTTAGTGGAAGTGTCTTTATCTTTTAAATTTTTATTTAGTGAATTGAAATTTACACAGGACATGTGATTTTATATTCAGGCTAGGATGTTAAAACGAAGAATTTAGGCTCAAGAAAACAACTGGAAATACATTAGCTGTAAGCATTATAGACACAAGGTCATCTTTAATGTGTTGACTCCATACAAGTAGCCAAGAAAAACATGAAACTGCGTGAACAGAAAGTCATAAAACCAGAAAAATATTTTCATTTCAGTATTTTTAAGGATGGAAATTGAGACCATCCTGAATGGCCAACAACAGAGGATTGACTAAATAAAATACAGTGTATTTAATACAATGGAATAGGGTGCTTTCATCTAAAATAATATTTCTGAAAATAACTCTTGTGACATAAAAATGTACTCACGGGCTGGAGATATAGCTCAGTTGGTAGAGTGCTTGCCTCACATGTACACAAGGCCCTGGGTTCAATCCCCAGCACCACCAAAAAAGAAAAAAAGAAGTATGGTAAAATGTTTAGTGATAAAAGAAACACTTTTTTTTTGTTTTTTCTCTTCTCTGAAATATAAGTACATTCAGAGCATTCTATCTTTATAGTTTTGTATCAATCTCCAGATAAAAGGCTAGGGGGAAATACATCAACACTTCATAGTGGTTATCTATGAGTTATGATCTAATGTGTGATCAAAAAAAGATGTGAGGGGCTCAGTGGTAGAGTGCATGTGTGAGGCCCTGAGTTCAATCCCTAGCATGGGGAAAAAAAAAGATGCTGAACTATTTTTGCGATGTGTTCCTAATATGTAATAAGAATGTATTGGGAACATTTTGCATTTGTAGTTTTGTATCAATAATATGGAAAAAAGGCCAGGAAGAAGTAAACCTAAAGTTTGAAGGTGGTTACCTCTGAATTGTAGCACTATAAGAGATCAAAGAAAGATGCTAAACTGTTTTTGCGATGTGTTCCTAATATGCACTATGAATATATTGGGAACATCTTGCATGCATAGTTTTGTATCAATATACAGGCAAAAGGATGGAGGGAAGAAACAAAAAATAAATCTAGTAGTAGTTATCTGTGGATTGCTTTCATACTAAAAGTAAGGTGCAGAATTATTTTTGCAATATGTTCCTGAATATGTAATATAAGTATATATTGGGGACATTTTGCATGCATAGTTTTGTATCTCTCTATGGAAAAAAGGCTGGGAAGAAATATAACAAAATGTGAACAGCAGTTATGCCTGAGTTTCTAGTATCATAAGTGATGCTTGTTTTTCTTTTTATACTTTTATGTATTTTCCAAGTAATTCTTGTATAAACAAAATGTGTTACTTCTACAGCAATAATAAAGCTTATTTTATTTTTAAAAAGAGTTTGTATTAAGTTCTCTTAAGAAGTCTGAATCCTTGACCTGGGGATGGGGGAAAATTCCTGTTTGAGCATCAGTGAACCTATAATACATTTTCAACCTATCTTGGAAAACCTTGCAAAGCTTCAGTTGGATTTACAAGTACAAATGTGTCTTTCCATTTGCTCTTGGCAAAAGAAAAAGTCTACTTTAAAAATATAACCATGACAGAATAATAATAGTAATATTGCTAAACAGACTGCTATCTCCTGTCTAATCAAAGGAACACTTTAAGAAGTAAAGAAAGTTGAAACAGGCTCCTTTTCCTCTAGGAGCAATTCAGGAAGGCGGTGCTTGGATACTTGCCCAGGGTCTCATGGCACACTTGCCAGTTTGGTACACACCTGCATGCCCCCTGCATTTCCCCACAAATTATGTCAAGCTCCATTAAATTGGGTTGGAGGGCACATGTGAACTTGCCCCCGCCCCACCTGCCCATTTTAAGCAGTCCTTGCTCTGGTAAGAGATGAGACAGAACTATTTAGTAACATACCCAGCCCATGATCTGACAAGGCACCTACCAAAGGTTTTAATATCCCTCAATTGCACCACATTAGAAGAAGAACTAGGGTTCCCCCCAGCCTTCTAAAATCGCTCTGGGGGAACTGTTTTCCCCCAAAGAATCATTCCTACTCTAGCAAGTCCATATCACCAGACATTATTTTCAAAATATATCTGTCATACTCCTTAAAGCTGAAGTCGCACTCGTGAGGCAAAACTATTCAATTATAAAGAGATATTCAGGGGCTGGGGCTATAGCTCAGTTGGTAGTGTGTGTACCTCACATGCACAAAGCCCTGGGTTCAATCCCCAGCACCAAAAAAAAAAAATCAGACTATTCTTCCTGTGTCTTGATGCTATATGCCCTCATTCTGCTTAGCAATAAATAACTACAGCTCAACTTGTCCTTTTACTGAAATGTGTATGCTTCTCTTTTAAGTTTTTCTAAAGCATTTTTCCTTATCACATTATATTAGAGCATATTGACTTGGTACCTAGCTCTGTACTCCTTAACTTGTGGGAAGAGAGAAGGATGGGAGAGAAGCAAGGGTTAAGGCAATCCTGAGCCAGAGAGGCCTTGAACAGTGGAATTCCTTCCTCTGTCTGCCACCTGGTACTGAGCAAGAATCAGCTGGGGCTTTGACCTTCTTCTGAGCCATGTCTGATCACACAGAAAACTTGCTTTGCTAAGCTCAGTGCTCCAAGTGGCCTCCTCTCCCCTAGGCCTCAATCCGGTTACTGGTAAACAAAGTGTGTGAAACAGGGGTAGACTATGGGTGGGACCCTTTCCTAAAGGACAGATCTCATTTCCAGGCCTGAGAAAGAGAGAAATCCCCTGATTTGAGCACTGATCTTAACCCTTCTCATTTACCAGTGAAAAAAAAAAGATCCAGCTCCTGAATTTCTGAATCAATAAAAATTTCTAGAATTTGGTCAGTGCAGAATGCACTCCTCCTAGTTGGGAATATTCCAAGAGAGGCTGGGGGTGGGGGAGGCAGGGAGGGAGGGAGAGCTTCCCTTTGATAACAGATCAATCCGACCCTCATTTTACAGAAGAGGAAATCGAGTTACAGAGAGGAAATAACTCACAGAGAGAAGTCATGCAGAGAATTGAGGGCAACGATAGAACGTGACCCTTCATCTTCAGGGCTCTTTCCAGTAAAATACACTGGGTCTAAAGGACAAACGGAGAGACCCAAGACAAGGATGTGGGACTTCATGTGGGATGCGAAAAGCAGAGAGGACAGGGGAGAACAATCCAGGAAGGGGGAGCATAGCATGAATAAAGCACAGGCAGAAATGGATGCTATCTGTCACTAGAATAGTTAGAAGATAGCCTGGAGGAAACTGTAAAGATCAAGTCTTGCTTCTCCTCGTGGCCTTTGCATACTTTTAAGGGTATAACAGGGTTTCAAGGGGTGCAACAGCCCCTCCTCCCCCAAATATGGCAAGATTTCTTAGGGCACAGGTTTAATTCAATAGTGAAAATTTTAAAGCATTGCTTTTCTGTTAAAGTGAGCACAGATTTAAAAAGATAAAACTGAGACCTTAAAAGCATTTCAAGCTTGTTACAGGCTCCTCCAGGCTGTCCTGGGACTCACACTCCAGTCTCATGCTGACGGAATATTTATGCACTAGTCTCCAGACATTTGGCTTTTTGTTTTTCCTGCCAGTACCAGATTCTCCTTGTCTTCTGATAACAGCACCCCTCCTGGGTTCTTTCCTTTTGGGGAACTGCCCCTCCTCCACTGCAATCAAGGGCTTTTGCAAGGGCTGCCAATCACAGGAAACGGTTGAGCCTCCCACCAGGCAAGAGACCCAAGGTTGACCAATCATAATATTCCATCCTCCTTTCCATGGTGATTGCCCTAGAGAAAATTCACGTGACCCCAGCCTAATCAATCAGAGTACTTGCCTGGGATTTATTTCTTTTTTCAAATACTGAAATGGATGGAGTCTCTCTTCTGAAGTTTCTAAACCTGGTGTTGTATCAAGCTAGGCCCTCCTTTACCCTGTTCTACCATGTCCACTATGGGAGGACCCATACCAGGAGAGGGACAGAGACAGAAACACAGGATGATGTTGTTTGTGTCCCTGGACCCACACTATTCTGTGTCCAGCTCCTCTTCCTTCCCTCTGTTACCAGAGCACATTTTCCTTTTTAAAATTTAAGCCATTTTATTTAGTTATTCCACAAATACTTAACCAAAGTATTCTAAGTGCCAAGCACCATTGCTGGACCTGGAAATAGAGTGGTGAATGAAAGAGGTGGTTTGAAGACCCTGCTGTCCCGGGTTCAGGTGCTAGACTGGGCCATGCTTCTGTCACTTGCAACTGAAACAATACTGCCTGCCAGATCACAGAAGACTTAACATGCTAGCTTAGAGACTCTTACAAGCAACAGGAGTCTGAAAAACTTTTGAGCAGAGGAATCACATGCTCTAGATTTGAGGCTGAGCCAGGTTGGAAGGAGTGACTACTGAAGGGTTGAAATGTGGTGGTGGTGGGGATTCTGATTTGCTCAATCAAAAAAAATATTCTCATGAATCAAGGTATGTGGTGTGAAATCTAATTCTGAAGGAAAAGAAGCTCTCAGGAAGTGTTCCAGCCTTCCCTGGTTTGCTCCATTTTATTGTCCTTTGCCAGTGCCCTGGACTGACACTAGGCTTTGGCGCCCACTCAGCACTGGATTCCCGCCCCCAACACACACACACACACACACACACACACACACACACACACACACACACACATCTACACCTATCTACACATGGAGTCCATGTACCACTGACAGTAACTTGTTAGCTGAGGGGAAGGCTGTTGTCTCCCTGCCCCAATCTACTTACTTTTATGACCCAGTCCAAGTGCTTCCTTCTTCTGAACTTTCTTTTAACTCTTGCCAGTGTCCAGTGTCCAGTGTCCAGACATTTGCTCAGAGAATATGATTTTTTTCGGGTGTGCTTTCTGCAATTCAGTAGGGTTATTCATACTAGCCAAAAGGTAGAAGCAACCCAAATATCCACTGATGGATGAACAAATTATATCTTCAATAGAATACCATTCAGTCTTAAAATGTGCTATGGTTTGGATAAGTGTCCCTCAAAGGCCCATGTTGCTAAAGGCTTGGTTCCCAGCCTGTGGTACTATTGGGAGGTGGTGGAGACTTTCAGAGGGAGATTCTAGTGGGAGAAAGTTAAGTCATTGGTGGCATGCCCTCAAAGGGGATTATGGGGCTCACAGTCTCTTCCTTCTTCTCTCTCCACTTCCTGTTATGAGGCAAACAGCTTCATCTGCCACCTAATCCAGCTATGATGTGCTCCCTCACCACAGACCCCAAAACAATGGGGACAACCTACTGTGAACTGAAACTTCCCAAACTATTAGCCGACACAAACATTTTCTCATTTTTAATATCTCAGGTATTTGTTACAGAAGTGGAAACCTGACTGACACAAAAAGGGAGAAAAGTCTGACACATATACTACAAATGAACCTTAAAGACACTATGCTAAGTGAAATAAGGCAGACACAAAAGGACAAATATATAATTCTACCTATATGAGTTTTGTGGTTCTATGAGTATTCAAACTTTTAAAGACAAAAAGTACAATGGTGTTTGCCATGGCGGGGGGGGGAGGGGAGTAGGAGAGAGAGGGGTGTTAGTCATTATGCACAGAACTTGTTTTGGATGATGAAAAAGTTCTGGAAATGGATAGTGGTGATGATTGCACAACAGTGTAAATGTGTTTAAAGCCCCTGAACTGGACATTTAAAAATGATTAAAATGGTATTTTTTTCAGTGCTGGGGTTTGAACCTAAGGCTTCATGAATGCTAGGAAAACAAACACTCTACCACTAAGCTACATCACCAGCCTGAAAATAGCCACTTTTATGCTATTATGTGTATGTTACCACAATGTTTAAAAAGCGCAAGAAACTCTCTGAGATAATAATAACTAAACTTGGGGCAGGGAGGGCAGATGTGGCTTAGCAGTAGAATGCTTGCCTAACATGCATATGAATAAGGCCTAGGTTCCATCTTTGCACTGCAATAACAAATAATAATAATAATTTAAGAACTCACGTTTTCGTGAATTTTTTTCTACGCATGTGTTTTTTCTGATTTTGTCCTATAGATGCCATATTAATTTAAAAATATTTTAAGATATTTTGAACATAAAGCATATAAAATAATAATGCGGATGTGTATAACTACTCAGCTTTAACAAATTTTAATTTTTTTCCACATTTGCTTGATATATATGTAATTTTGTATATACAATATTATTTAATTTGTATGTAACATTAAAATGCACACTTGAGAACCCTTTATAACACCCACTTCAAATATAGGGTCCTATACCCATATTTTTTAATGTACCTGCGTCCTTCCCCAGGTCACTCCCATGCCTTTTACTATTTTCATCTCCCTCCCCAAGAAACATTATCCTGACTTTTGTGTTACTCTTCCCTTGCTTAGAAAACATATTCAGCCACACTTGTATGTACCTCTATTCTGGCTACTTATTGCTACTTCAAAGCAACCTCAAACCCAGTCGCTTCAACAGCTATTTAATTATACCTCCTGATTTTATGGTTAGGAATTTAGGTAGTGTTCTCAGCTACGTAATTTTGGTATTTCACAGGGCAGATGGGCTGGGCTGGATTGTCTCCCTAGAGTCCTCTTATAGGTCTGGAGTCTTAATGGGGAGGGTGAAAGGTGGAGTTCAGCTGAGACTGTTTCCTGGGTATAGCCCCCACAATGACTGGGTGGTACAACTTCTTTTTTGGTAGCTCAAGACTTCCAGAGTGTTCTAAGAGAGCTAAATAGAAACACAGAGCTATTTATGACTTTACTCCAGAAGCTCTGGAACTTCACTTATGCTATTATCTATTGGTTCAGCAAGATTCTTAGGCCAGGATGGATTTAAAGGGAGGGGACTTAGCTCTGCTTCTTAATGGGATGAAAGAATTTCTGGTCATCATTATTCTACCACAGTCCCACACAATATGTTTTTGATGCCAGATGGTGACAGGGGCCCTGTATAGGCTGAGCATTCTATGACAAATGCCACCTCATTTAAGCTTATCCTGATATCTTCTTTTTCTTCTTGTTCTTTTTTTTTTAAACTTTTTTTATTATGGAAAATCTCAAACATAAAAAGAAGAGTGTGTGAACCTCACATATACTCATCACTTCAAAAATTACCCATTGATGGTTCCTCTTGTTACAGCCATATTCTCACCTACATCTCCCATTCCCATATTATTTTGAAACAAATCCCAGGCATTAAGCCATTTTATCAATACATTTACTATGTGTCTTAAAAAGAAAAGGACACTTTAACAAAAACATAACCAAAACACTACTATTATTATTCCATATTTTGTAAAACACAATAATTCCTTAATATCAGTGGAGATTCAACTAGTGTTCAAATTTCTAATCATCTCTCAAGTGTCAAAGATGTGGTCATATTTTAATGTTTGTTTGATTGGGATCCAAATAAAGTCTAGATATCACTACTAGTGGATATCTAGTCTATCTTAAACTATATCTAGTCTATCTTAAACTATAGGTTCCTCCTTTATGATATTTTTCCTTGCAATTTATTTGTTGAAGATATCAGGTTTTCTGTCCTGTAGAGTTTCCCCCTAGTCTGGAGTTGGCCATTTGCATCCCCGTGAAGTCATTTAACTTGTTTTTCAGTCTCATTCATTGCCTGTAAATTTTTACTTGACTGTATGGGTTCGAATAAATTCCTGTTTGATTTTTCTCATAGGTAGAATATTCTGGGCTGAATACTCTCTCCAAAAGTCATGTCCATCTGAAACCTGTGAATGTGACCTTATTTGAAAATAGGGCCCTTGCAGATAAAAATCAAGTTAAAGATGAGGTCCTATTGGATTAGGTTTCTCCAAATCCAATGACTGCTGTCCTTATAAGATGAGGGCAATTTGGAAACAGACACATATGGAGAGAAGACCATCATGTGAAGATGGAGACAGAGATTGAAGTTATGATGCCATCAAGGAAATCAAAGATTGCCAGCAGTTGGGTTGAAAGTGTAGCTCAGTTGTCAAGTGCTTACCTGGCATGCACAAGGCCCCGGGTTCCATCCCCAGTGGAAGGAAGGAAGAGAGGGAGGAAAGAGGAAGAGTTAAAGAAGGCTCTTCCCCTAGAGACTTTGAAGGGGCACAGACTGTGAGCACCTCAATTTTGGATTTTTAGCTTCCAGAACTGTGAGAGAATAAACTTCTATTGTTTGAAGACACTCGGTTTATGATACTTTGTTACAGCAGACACAGGAAATTCATAAGGTGGTAGTTTCTTTGTCCATCTAGAAGCATATAATAGACAAGCATGGTGGTGCATACCTGCAATCCCAGTGACTCTGGAGGCTGAGGAAAAAAGATCTCGAGTTCAAGGCCAGCCTCAGCAACTTAGTGAGACTCTGTCTCAAAATAAAAATAAAAATGGCTGGAGGTATAGCTCAGTAGTAAAGCACCCTGGGTTCAATCCCCAGTACCCCCCCAAAAAAATGCACATAGTATCTGGTTACATCTCTTTTTGTGATGCTGCCATTGATGGTTAATTCTATTATTATTTTCTTATTTATTAGTCAAAACATTTATATAAACATTATATAAGGAGAGATATCTCCTCCTAGGAAAAACAGTACAAATGCTTGCTTTTCTTATTTTTCCTTTTTTTAAAAATCAACAATGAATTGCTTTTCTAGTATCCTCCAACAGTGAATAATAAACTGAGTTTGTTTTTATTTTATCCTTTTGGTACAACAAAATGATCCATTCCAGTCTCTTTTGTATACTTCTTGACCCAGACCTTGAATTAGCAATTTCTCCAAGGAGCCCTGTTTCTTGCAATGGGAACTGATGATTTCAAGGTCACCATCTGACCCTTGCATACCATATTTCAAATTACAACCAGGCCCTTACATCTGCCTCTCAATCCCCTTTACCTTGCTCTGTTTTCCATAGTACTATTCTCCTCATGATACACTGGATAACATATATATCTATTAGTTATTGTACACACCACAAGAGTAGAGATTGTGAGCCAGGCTCAGTGGCATGGGCCTGTAATCCCAGTGTCTTAGAAGGCTGAGGCAGGAGGATTGCAAGTTCAAAACCAGCCTCAACAAAAGTGAGACACTAAGCAACTCAGTGAGACCCTCTCTCTAAGTAAAATACAAATAGGGCTGGGGATGTGGCTCAGTGGTTGAGTGCCCCTGAGTTCAATCCCTGGTACCTCCTCCCTAAAAAAAACCTATTTGCTATGGAATTTTTTTACAATGCATAATGAATCCCATGTAACCAGTACCAACAATTAATCATAATATCATAATCATAAACATAAGGGCACTGTAGTTTATTCTGTATCTGCCCTATTCCTCCCATTTCATTGGATTATTTTCACAGAAATTTCAAATGTCAACATTTTATAATACATATTTAATATGGCCCTCCCTCATGTTTGCTTCATGAGGGCATAAAGGACTGTTTTCACTTTACTGTTGGATTCCCAATCTCTAACTGTGCCTGGCACACAGTAGGTTCGGTAAGTACCCATGGAGTGAACAAATGAATTGGATATATAGAAACGTAAGTGAAGGGGAACAGGAAGGTATTCAAAATACAGTAAGATAAACTGAAATCTATTTCCATGCATGTATGAGCTTGTCAGGGTGAACAGAACTACTACATATAACTATAAAGCTCCAATTTAAAAATGAGAAGCTGGTGAATAAAAAAAAAAGAACAAGTCAACAAATTTAAGAAACACACAATAAGATTCCTTATTTTCAGATACAGACTGCAGAGGAAATATTTAACTGAATTTCCAACTTTTCTCTCAGGATTCAATATGAAAATATTGTATTTACTATGACACATATTTTTGAAGATTAGATTTCCCCCCCAATGCTAGTGATGGAATCCAGGGCCTTGTGTGCTAACAGATACTCTACCTCTTGGCCACACCCTCAACCCCCAAAGGATGATTTTGGTTCCACCTTAAGAAGCTAACCCTAACAGCATTTCTGTGTATGTGTGTGTGTGTGTGTGTGTGTTTGTGTGTGATGCTGGGGTTTGAACGCAAGGCCTTGTGCATGAGAGGCAAGCACTCTATTAACTGTGCTATATCCATAGCCCCTTTCTTCTCTTTTCTCCCTGATTTTAATTAACAAATATTTGTCAATGAAATTAATGCAGGAAGGAACAAAGTAGGAAGTACAAGTCCTGTGTACCTGAGGTTAGGGACAGAGGAAGGGCAGGCACATTTTCACTGGGGCAGCTGTGGCACACTGATACATCATAACAGCTGGGTTAATAGGGCTCCTTCTAAATGTCCCCAGGGATATCTTGGCTACATCAAAGTGTCTCGCATCCTGTTTATGTCCTTTAGCCTATTATTTTTCTAGGAAAATACCTTTGCATATGCATTTTGTTTAATTTTTAAAGCTATTCATGGCTCAGCACAGTGATGCACACCCATAATCCCAGTGACTCAGAAGGCTGAGGCAAGAGGATCATAAGTTCATGGCCAGCCTCCTTAGCAAGACCTTGTCTCAAAACAAATTAAAAGGGCTGAGGATATACTTTAGTGATAGAGTACCCCAGGTATAATCTCCAGAACCACAATAAATAAATAAGTAAATAAGTGCTCTTTGTGGGCTGGGGATGTGGCTCAAGCGGTAGCGCGCTTGCCTGGCATGCGTGCGGCCCGGGTTGGATCCTCAGCACCACATACCAATAAAGATGTTGTGTCCACCGAGAACTAAAAAATAAATATTAAAAATTCTCTCTCTCTCTCTCTAAAAAAAAAAAAGTGCTCTTTGTGTATTAAATTTTCTTGCTTGTCAAATATGTAACTTTTTTTTCCTCCAAGTTATTGCTTGTGTTTCCAATTTTGTGGTGATTTCTGCCATTCTGGAGTGATCCTTACTGTGGTCAATTCTATCAATACTTTGCCTGTGTTTCTGCCTTAGATATCATGCCGAGAAAGGTCTTCCTCACCCTAGGATTGTAAAAATGTTCACCTGCATTTTCTTCTGGGCTGTTTTGGTTTGATTTTGTCATGTTTAAACTTTCAGGGCACTATCAACTTTTTTGGCAATAATACACATTTATTGAGTGATTATAATATGCCATATTCTGTTCTAAGCACCTTACTTTGAGCATCTCATCTGAAAGTGCAGTAGCTCCAGAGGTAGGGGCTGCGGGAGCCTGTTTCACAGGTAGAAAACAGGTAGGGACAGGGCTGGGGATGTGGCTCAAGCAGTAGCGTGCTTGCCTGGCGTGCATGCGGCCCGGGTTCGATCCTTAGCACCACATACAAACAAAGATGTTGTGTCCACCAAAAACTAAAAAATAAATATTAAAGATTCTCTCTCTCTCTCAAAAAAAAATAAATCTTCTCTTTAAAAAAAAAAAAAGAAAAGAAAACGTAGGGACAAGGAGTTTGTGTACTTATCTAGAATTAAACTGCTGGGGAAACCCAGTCATCTAGTGTTGCAGCCTACAAGGGTTAACTGTAAAGGTTTAAGTCAGTATATGTGAAGTATCTGGAGTAGGACAATCAATAGAAAGTAGCAGATTCAAAATTATTACTGCATTGTCCTCATAAACATGATTTCTGATGGCTACATTTATTTGAAAAAAATGCATCTTTTAAAAGTTTATTTATTTTAAAAAATATTTTAGTTGTATGTACCTTTATTTTAGTTATTTATTTTTTTAAGTGGTGCTGAAGATCGAACCCAGTGTGTCCTCACATGTGCTAGGCGAGTGCTCTACTACTGAGCCACAACCTGAGCCCATTAAAATTCATTTTTAAATTTGTGATTCCCTCACAAGCACAAAAAGCCTTTAGAATCCCATGGGAATACATAAAACCATTAAAAAAAGAGTTATCAGTGAATTTTGGAAGGACATACACCAACATGTAAAAAATTTTGTTGGCTAGTGGAATTCCAGAGTATAAAACAACCTTTGTCTCCATTTCTAGTTTTCTAGAAAGAGTATGTCTTTATTTCCTGATGAGAAAAATAGCCACAGTAACTGCTATATGTATGTTTTTAAAAGGCTGTCAATGGGAGGAATCAGGCAGGATCTAGAGGGTGACACTAGGTTAGAAGAAAAATTTCTTTTTCTTCCTTCTTTCTTTCTTCCCCCTTTGGTACTGGGGAGTAAACCCAGGGACACTTTACCACTGAGCTCTATCTCCTGTACTTTTTTACTTTTTATTTTCAGACAGGGTCTCATTATGTTGCTGGGGTTGACCTCAAACTTGTGATCCTCCTACCTCAGCCTCCTGAGCCACTGGGATTACAGGTGTGCAAAACCATGCCTGGCTCTTTTCCCTTTTTCTTTTGATAACCTGGGAAGAACACAAAGCTGATAGAAAGGGTCAATAGAGAGGGAGATTGTGGCTCTCAGGAGCAGCAACGGAGAGTTGGGGAGGGAGCAAGGTCTGCCAGGAGGCAGCAGGTAAGATGAGATATACTCTGTATTCATACTATTATACGAAACAGAAAGATTAGAAGTAAAGATGTAAAAATGTTAATACTAGAGTTGGCTGCATTTTAATTCTATTCTGTATTTTTTTGTCTCCTTGATTTTTCTTTCTATATATTCCTTTGCTCTTGATATGTGATTTTTAAACCAGGAGGAAAATGTTTTTTAACATGAAAACAAAAGTAGAAAATCTGTTTCCTAGTGTAGAAGCGTCTTAAGTTGGAGGTAGCTGATGGAGGCGTGAGGCACCTGATTCTAGGCCAGAGGCCACCCTGGAAGAACATGTGACAGGAACACACATGTAACACACAAATTCTGGGGCTTTCCACTCTCTAGTGTTCTATCTTTCCAGGTGAGAGGAAATACTCAACTAAACTCCTAACTTTTCTCTGAGGATTTGAATATGCAAATATTGTATTTAATATAACAAAAATTCTGTATAAAGATGATTTGGGTTCCTGCTTAGAGGCTCACTCTATCCAACAGGTTTATTCTTTTTTTCCCCTGATTTTAAGTAACATGGTTATAAAAGAAGATTAAACAGTGCAGAAAGAAAAAAAGTAGGAAGTAAGAGTCCTCCAGACTGGAGGCTGCTGCTACTTTCTGTCATGCCCACCATTGAATAATTTCATAATTTTATCCATTTCTTCTAAGAGGGACACTTCTATTTTAGTTTCTCAGATATTGGGATACCCATTACAATTAGTGGTGGGTGTGGTAGATTATCTGCCCTGTCACCCACATATCCCCTTCTAGAAAGATCTTTTTTCCATGGTGGCTGAGAATGTTGCCAGAAAATGGCCCTCTGTGAGTGGCCAACTTTCTTCAGAATCACCTCTATTGAAAAAAGCCACTTCAGCAGAAGAGATACCCCAGTCAACACAGGGTTATAATATGTCAAAATACATTCTACTGTCATGTATATTTAAAATGAATTTTAAAAGAATTTAAAAAAGAAGCAATGTACTCACAACAATGTAGAGCTATGCTGAAGGCATGTCATCCTAACTTCTGGACTTCGCTGAAGGGATGGGGGAAGTTTTGGGTGAGACTGCTTTGCAGCTCAACCCCTAGATGTGCCTCATCAACCCTATTTCCTTCTGCCCTCTCAAAAGGATCAATTTCAAAAGCACTTTTTTGGTACCAGTGATTGAACCCAGGGGCATTCAACCACTAAGCCACATCTCTAGCACTTTTTATTCCTATTTTTTTTTTAATTGCCGAGTCCACCTTTAAACTCACAATCCTCATGCCTCAGCCTCCCAAGCCACCAATGTGCCCGGCTCCAAGGGTACTTTCTTTTTCTTTTTTTAATTTTTTTAGTTGTTGATGGACACAATACTTTTATTTTTTTATTCATTTTTTATGTGGTACTGAGAATTGAACCCAGTGCCTCACACATGCTAGGTAAGCACTCTGCCACTGAGCCACATCCCCAGCCCTCCAAGAGCGCTTTCTAATACACTTCCGGCATCCTCACCTTCTCAGTGCTTCCTGACCAGAGGACCCAACCTGCAACATATCCCAAATTAACCGGCAGCATTTTTCATTTTTTTATTGGTACATAAAATAATGAGGGGCTGGGGATATGGCTCAAGCGGTAGCGCGCTCGCCTGGCATGCGTGCGGCCCAGGTTCGATCCTCAGCACCACATACCAACAAAGATGTTGTGTCCGCCGAAAACTGAAAAATAAATATAAAAATTCTCTCTCCTCTCTCTCTCTCTTAAAAAAATAAAAAAATAAATAAAATAATGATATACCATGTGATTGATAATATCTTAGATTTGATGAAACATGGAGATATTTAAACTACATATGTGAGTTTGTTAAAACTATATTTCCCCCATGATCCTCATTTTTACCTTAACAAGCACAAAGCTTCACATTCTCGGCACTTGAGAGTAGACGTTATATCTGGCTGCTTCCCCAGCACCAATTTCTCACTTCTTCCTTCCTCATTGAATCCTGATTTTGTTCCATGTGTTCCAGGGGAAATGGGCTTTAATCTTAGCTCCAGCAGTGGGCTGGACTGGGCAAAGGGCAGTCCAGCCCCAGTTGCCAGTGACAGCTTAAGGAATGGGCATGTGAGCCCATTTTGTCCAGTGAGACTACAGAAGAGAGTTTCACCACTTACAATAGAGTTGACAGAACTGGGCATGGCAGTGCATCCCTGAAATCATAGCTGCCTTAGAGTCTAAAGCAGGAGGATCACAAGTTTGAGGCCAGTGCCAGCCTCAGCAACTCAGCAAGATTCTGTCTTAAAATTAAATAAAATAAAAGGGCTGGAAGTGTAGCTCAGTGGTAGAGCACCTACCTAGCATGCACAAAGCCATGAGTTTCATCCCCAGCACTGCAAAAAATAAATAAAACAGTTGACACAGAAAGCCTTTCTTGAGGAAACCTTACAGATTACTACTAGTTGTTCTCATCTAACCACAAGAAGGACCACCCTTTGTTATTTCCTTTTTGCAGAGGTGGGCCTTTGTGCATGCTGTGCAAGCACTCTACCACTGAGCTGTACTCAGCCCAGGACCAGCCTTTAAGAGAAGAAGGCACTCTGGACAGCAGAGCCACAGGATGGCAAGCACATGGGTCCCTGGCATCATATTGAAGCAGTGGATCAAACTGATCAGGACTGAGCTACCTCTGGACATCCTGCTTATGCAGCCAATAAACTCCTCTATTGTCCAAGCCAGTTTGAGCTAGGTGACCTGACTGGAAAATCTGTAACATCCTAACTGGCAGAAAGATCCTTACAATAACCCCAATCTACCCATCTAGCTTTCTCCCTTATCACTACATCTCTGTCACAACCAAATGAGGCTACTCACCATTTATCCCATGGCCCTGTGATTTTTTTACACCTATCTGTTGGCCCAAGTAGACCTGCTGGCTGAAAGCTTTCCCTTGCCTGCCTTCCTGTCAACCTTTCCTAAAGTCTCCCTTGGAATGTTGTTTCTTCCTGGATGTTCCAGTCTTCCCCTTCCTGTTCCCAGCAAGCACTAGCCATGCC